CATGGGTGTTAGAAAGAAGGATCTTTCTATTCATTTGTTTTCATAAGGTTAAAAGAGGTATTCCCTGGTTTCAGTCAGTTTGGCTTGAGTATCTTTAATTTTGGTAGCTTAATCTCCCTTGGGAAAATTCAGGAAAACTGCTCTTTCTCTCATCATCTCTTTCCTAGTCTTTAAAATAAAATTGAAAGTGTAAGGTTTTGGGCCTTTTTATGAAGAAATGCTCTGTTAGTCATCTTAAAAATTACAATGGGAAATTCCTCTCAATTCATTATTTTTCCTTATCTGAAGTTTAGAAGATAARTGATGTAAGGGTTGTTTTCAACGCTTTTCATGTGATAGGCATAATAAATAAATGGAGGCCAGATGTGTTGGATTTTTTTCCCTTTTACTTATGATTTTGACATTTTATTTCAAGTGTCATGCTTTTATATAAACTTTTTTTTTTTTTGGTCAAGAAGCAGCAATCGTAATGTAAGGTGAATTAAGGTGAATAAGTCTAATGGTCATAATTTCTAAATACTATTTGGTCAGCATGTGAAGAGAAGATCTTGAGATGCATCTGCTGATGAAGTTAAATAATAGATCTCATTATGCAAGTGATGGGATATTTTATTTTTAAAGAATTATTGAGACATTGTAAAGATTGGCAAGCATGTAAAGCTTAAGATGCCTCTGCTAGTGAAGTTAAGTAGTAGATCTCAGAAAGTCCCATCACTTGCTTAATATTTTTAAAAAGTCGTTAAGACATGGTAAAAATCCATGTGCTTAATATAGGCATTTTTTTTGAATCATCATGTAAAGTTCATAACAGAGTTGATGTGTTTGTGAAAGAGTTGTTTACAAGGCTAAAACTATACTATATATAGTATATATACACTATACTATATATAGTATATATACACTATACTATATATAGTATATATACACTATACTATATATATACACTATATATATAAAACTATATGCTAGAGTATTTTGATTTGACAATATTGAAATTTGACTCATCCAATCAAGAAAACCAAATGTTTCGGTTTTCAAGTTTTTTTGGTGCTGTGTGGTTGTGTTTTTCCTTCCCAACCCCTTCAAAAATATTTTCTAATCCAGGCACAAGATTTTAAATTAAACTGAAATATTGAAGCTTTAGAACTGGGAAGACAAAAACCAATGCTTTATCTAGCTTCATTAAAGGAAAAGAAGCTGCAGATCTGTTTAAATGATTGATTTTGATCTTCTTTGTATAAAGAAAGAAAGAGGAAATGTGATTTTGAGGCTGGTGAAGTTGAGGATGAAAGAGTAGACAAAATTGGCATTTCTGTTAAGAATTGTGTAAAAAGCTGATTCTTAAGTGCACAAAGAGTTCTTAAAGGCATGCTTATTAAAAAGGAAAAGACTGATAACATGCTACCATCACAGAGAGACTTTGGACTTAAGAGTTCAAGACAGTTCTTTGCTGCTGCCTTCTTTCACATAGTGATTCTGACACACAAATGGGATGTTTGCAAGCCTCTGAARTGTGTGTATGGGAATGTCTTTACCATGTCATTCTTTGTCTATTCTTCAAATCTATGACATTTTTATATAGCTTTTTAAAATAAGATTTGTGATTAGAGTTCCTGACTGTGTTATACCAAGTATCACTTGTTAAGGTTCTTGCCAGTTAATACCATTGCAATTCCTTTTTTTTTTTCCTAGAGATTTTTCATCAAATAAATCCTCTATTGCTATTGTTATACTTAGTCTAATATAGAGCACGTGCCTGTTCAAAGCTAGCATTCTTAGCTTTAGGAAATCCTAGTATGCAAGTTTCTTTGTGAATTTCATCTGCTCTGTGCTTTGTAACATTTTCATAATATTTCTCACTAGGTACTGTCCTTTTGCAGGCTTGTGTGAGGATTGTGGCTTGCAGGAATGTGTGAGTTACAGGACAGATGGCTGCCTTCTGGCTCTTGGTTATTAGTCGTGAATACAAAACAAAATTTTTGTGTTTATCAGGACTCTCTCTAGTTTGGAAAAATGCCTTTCTGTTCACAAGGTAGTTTTTCAGCACTGTGCTTCAAGTCTTCTCTATTTCCATAGGACAGCAGAGCACATATCAGAGGTAGATAAACTGCTCAGCCTCAGATGTACAGGACATTTGTTGTCAGCCCCTTTTTTGCTGCTGCTTCTACCTGCAGGGACATGGCACTGGACGTGGTTCCCTTAGCTGACTCGCTTCCRTGAGCTGCCATTCACAGAGCCTGAAAGACAAGCAGGGTGGCTTGTATTTAGGAGCAGAAGGTGCTTGAGGTACCAAACTGTGCAGAATCCCATAATAGCCTTACAGACCTCTTCTGTCTTAAATGTAGCTGTTTCTGTGCTGCTGTCAGTGCAGTACAGACAGTGCCTGCTTTGTATTTGATTTTATACAATTTGGTATGCTTGTGTGTGTGTATGCTTACTGCTTTCTTGTCAGCTATATCAGAGAAGACATCTGGCTTGAATTAGCAGTCTGGGTTTTTGGTTGTAATTGTGTCAGGATTTTCTGTTAACCTGGTTTGTAGAAGAGTTTTGATGGTCCAGAATGTCCGGAAAATACATCAGCAGTGAAAGCATGCAGAGTTGGGTGCACCTTTTTCTTACTGAAGACCCTTCGTAGGAGATATGTGCAGAGTCTAAGTCTTCCCAGGTGCCAAAATTCTCCACTTATTGTATAGATTTCCTTGCTTTATTCTTGCAATACATTGCTTCACCATCCTCCTTTTTTTTTAAAAAAAAAAAAACACCTGAGGTATGTTTTGAGTGGCTATTTGCTGCTAAAGTCTCTGAACTGGACTCTGAGTTAAAACTACGGTACTTGCTAGAAACATAGAATCAAGCATCTTTTGTGCTCCCATCTAGGCTTTGTGTTCTCTCTCGGAATTTTGTAGTAATCCAAGGTGAGAAAAAGTTTGTTACTAAAATACTTAGTGCAACTAGCAGTTGCGGAGAGCTTGCTCTCCATCCCTCATACAGTATCTTTCCCATATCCTGAATTTCTTTAGATGAATCTCCTTCTGTCCTCAGTGATCTTTTAGTACCTCTTGGGCCAGTGCAGGGAATTTGGTGTTATAAAGCTAGCAGGGTAATGGCTTAATTCCAGTTCCTCCAGGCTCCCTCTCTTGACTGTGATTGGCACGTCCTCAAGGACTAAAATTTTAGTCTTATTTGAAGCTTCTTGACTAGTTTGCAGGCTGTTGTTGTTTCCTGCATTCTTGCTGTTACTRTGTGCTGCTGTAGAATGGTAACCCATAGTGCTGTGTTAAATGTGAAGCAGTTCATGTGCTTGACTTTCAGGGAGTGCAGAGTATTAATGTCCAGTTGATTCTTAAGAATCTTGGTTCTGGTCCTCAAAATGAACGGCTCAAGTGTTACAGCTCTTGTTCCATCATCGTGATCTGTCAGCAGTAATACTTCCACTGTAGGACAGAGGTAGTGTTTCAAAACAAGAATAGAAGGCCTGCTGTAGTATCACGTTGTGTCACGTAACCAGAAGCACGTGAGTGCCCCAGGAGTTGGCTCATGGGATCATGTTTGTGCTGCAGTAATAGAGAGCTTCTTCACAGTACAGTTGATCTGGCTCTATAAAATCTGTAGGCTCTGTCTGTCTTTGTCTAATCCATGAGGAAATCTTAGGCATTTCCTCATGGATTAGTTAATTTTTTTCTCTTTGTTTCTATTCCATTAGGTCAAAAGTGTTAAATCAAATATTGGAAGAGGTAATATCTGTAATTCACGGCAAAGGCATTTCTCATTTAATGGACTTAGAAGGGAGATTTCCAAAGGGAGATTTCTTATTCAGCCTAGCAGGTCTGTACCAAAATGAACCAAAGTTGTAAAGTTTAATGTAAAGAAAACAATACAGCACCTTTTTAAAAAAAGAAATATTTACAGTCTTCCATCATATTATAGTAAATATTTCTCCCCAAAATTACAAGATAGCTTCCAAATTTGGTATAATACTTTAAGGGTTAAGGAAGCTTTAGCCCCACCTTCAATATGCATCTTAATGAAGTGTTCATTATGGWATTCACTGCTAATGTCTCCTTGATTTGCATCTCTTCACACTACAGAATCAATTCTCACTGAGCTCAAGTAATTGCTTTTGGGAGCTTTGCTTTTGTCTGTAGATGCAGACTTGCTTTTACTTACTTTATAAATGCTGTCCAAGAGTTCTTTAGGTAGTTTGAATTTTGAGGCTGGAGGCCTGGGCTTGGCCACAAAATAGCAGCAGTCTTGGGGCCTGAATTTGTTACCACTTTCCTCAAGCAAGATGACTCACTCTAAGCTTAATGCCTGGAACACCATTTTTTGTTGTGTGCAACAGGTAGATGATGACAGACACTGCGGACAGTGACTGGAAACACCGGGATTATTCTAGGAAGTCCGGATTTCCCATTTTAGCTATGTGATTGAGACTTTCATTTAGAGTAGCAACTGATACAGACAGCAAGATGTTAATAGGACCTTGTTGGAACATAGTAGTGAAATTGTTGAACTGTTTGTCAACAGACTTGGTTGGGAAGGAGGGAATGGATTTTTTTTCTAGATACTCAATTACTCGAAATACCGAAAACTGTGCACAAGTTATACCTGTTGAACAGATCCATGTACAGTTTCTGAATAAACTACAGATCATGATCTGGTATATTGGGACTGAAATGGAGATACAGCCATTGCTTCTGCATATAAGCCGCTGTATTTTCCAATAGGATATGCTTCTTCATAGGACAATGTGACACTTTCCTGAATGTTAATTAAGAAGGAGTTACCAGTGCTTGAAAAGTGACAGAAGATTATTCCTTATTTTAAAATTCTTCTTAATGGAAGAAATTTATTTAAAGAGTATGTTTTAAATTGTAAATATATTTATATACTTTTAATGAAATTAAAATACATTGCGTGCTTTTACTCTTATTTGAGATGAGATTCTCAGTCTTTTGTGCATTTTCAAATAGAAAATAACTCACAATTTCCTTTTTTAGGTTATAAAGCAGCTAAATGGAGTCTGAGCAGTTGTTTCATAGAGGCTACTATCGAAACAGCTACAATAGTATAACTAGCGCAAGCAGCGATGAAGAGCTTTTAGATGGGGCAGGTGTCATTATGGACTTCCAGACCTCTGAAGATGACAATCTCTTGGACGGTGATGCATCAGTTGGTAAGTTAATGCTATTTTGATGCTTTGGGCTTATAAAAATTTCTTGGGGAGGAGAAGGAGATATGTGTATTGCTGTTAAGAACAAAACTACCCCGTTTTCCTAATAAAAGCTTTTCTTTGACAAATCTGCCTTGAAGAGAGATGCTTTAAAACTGACAATGACTGAGAATTTTCCAGTCTGCTTGCTGAGCACGGTGACCTCTCAATGAGGCAGGTGCTACCTTACTTCTGGCAAGTGATAAACTTTCTGCTAAGTAGAAGGATGGCTATTCTGCCATCACTTGGTGTTTCTTAGCTGGAGCAGGATTCTTGAAAAGAAAAAAACTGTCTGTTAGAAGTCTTTTTTTATTTCTTTGGGGCAGATACTAAAATTCTCTTTAGGTCATTACTTCCAGTGTTATATGAATGCACAGAATTACATTAAGCCTAGCTCTGTGCTTCAGCTGATGAACATTGCTAAAACYGGGAGTCCTATTTAGACATATAGTTTTCAGTGTGTTTAAGTCTTTTATGTTTGTAAGTAGTTGAGCCTGGTTTCTTAGCAACCTGTGCGATGTAGCAGTAGCGTGTTACTGTTCAATACCTGAACTTAAAATGATTGTGGAAGCAATGCGGTGAAATTCAAAACAGCGTAACTGCAGCAAATAAACTTGGAGCACTGATGAACTTAGAGCACAGATGTGAGTGTGTACAGACTAGATACACTGTTGACAGTGGAGTGTCAGAATTTACGGCTCTCTGGTATGGAATTATGGATTTAAAATAATCAAGTCAATGTAATGAGGAGGAATGATGGGAATAAACCTTTTGATTTTAGCTAATGAAAAATAAATCATAAAATTCACRTAGGGATTATGCAGAGAAAGCAATAACCCTGAACAGTTTCCAAAGTAGTTGTGGTCTCCCTCCTCATTCATAGGGCTGTTAGTTAACAGACCAGGTCTATTCATTTCAGTAGGCAGGGCAGGGATTCTGGAGAACCAGCATGGTAGTGCTGCGGTGCTACTGGAGAGCTATGCTCCAGTTGCTTTTTTCTATGCATAACTTTCAGACTTTGAGCAGTTATTCCTTAAGCCTACTATGTTTTAAAATGCTAAAGAACTAAATTACTGTGAAGGTGTAGTCTTGAATGGCTTGCACCCATAGCCCTGCCTAGAAGGCCTTTCGATTTTGATCAAAACATGCTTTTGTTGCTTGTCAAAGGTAATGTGCTTGTAGTAATCAATTTAATGTTCTTCCTTGTTGAGCAGCTATTTAATGAGAACTTGAGGTCCCATTAAATAGATAAGCAGAAATACGTGCCTCTCTGTAGATAGTGGATATCTTAACAGTATGTACTTCGGTATGTGGGTTCTGTGTTGATCTTTTTCATTATGGTTTATCAATATGCTTAGTTTTAGAATGTTTGCTCTGCTTTTTGCTAAACTAAACATGTTATGTTTGCCACTGAGGAGTTCCCAGTTGTTTAATAGTTCAGATAAACTAATATTTATTGAYTGACATTTTGTAGAGTCTAGCTATTTAATTAAAAATGGGTGCACTTGATGAGCTCATTGTGTTCCTTCACTTTAACAAAGAGAGAAAGGAGAGAGAGAGAGAGAGGAAAAAAAAAAGGAATTCTAAGTGGAAGTGGAGTTTCTACAATGGAAATACATTATCAAGATGTATTTTTAATTGATAAATATGATTTGGAAGGCAGCATCTCTTACCTGCACTTGCAGTGTAGCCTTCACATTGGCTGTCTCAATTAGATTCTGTTCCTGGCCGCTGACTGGACCTTAAGTTTGTAGCAAACCTTTCATGTTACTTTTTTTCCTCTAATATCAATCTCGGCCAACTGGTAAGGCAAAGCTGTGAGAGATCAAATAACTCATGAGATTTTGCAGAGTTTTGGTCACATTTGAGGGTCATTTACTTGAGATACAAGACGATTGATTCATTTCTCACCTTTTTTGTTTTAATGAGGCAACTCAGTGGAATGTGGATTTTGGTGATGTTATCAGTCTGCAAATTCTTTAAGGCACGGCCAGAAATTAGATGATTACTTCATTTATTTGCAAATCATTTCTATTGCTAATAATACTGCTGGTGTCTACATCTCAAAATGCACTTGGCATCTGTGAGAGCCTAATTCGTGAATGAGCTTGACTTTCTTTTTGATACCTGTAGTGATCCTTCCTCCTGGTTGGAGGAGGAGCACAGTTGCTTGTGCTGTGACTTCAGAGAGGAGACACTTTACAGGCTGTCATATGGTGTTAACACAGGCTCTGTGATGGTTAACCTTAATGTGACAGCCTGTAAATTGGTAATTTAAGAGCTGCTGCAGTAACTCCTAGTGTTTCCTTACAGTGGTAACAGCTCCACTGAAAATAAGAATGAGAGAAGTTGGTGGGTGGTAGTGCGAAACACTGCAGCTATCCTAGGCTGCCCTTGCTTTGCACATGTATGGGAGCCTTTACCTAAACTAAGATGAAAACACCAAAACAATCCACTTTGAGGGCCTTAGGGGGGCAAGTAATAATGCTAAAGATAGATAATCAACTAATATGGCATTATTAGAGGAAGAGTAAATGCAGGTTTTTCTGTATAATCAAGAAATATTTATCTCATAAAAATAAGTTTAATTGCTCAAGAAAGATCTAGATGTTTTTAGCTATCTCTTGTAACAGCATGTGACTGTCCTTCCGTGTGTATGCCTGTTTCCATTTTGTTATTATAGCCTATAAAGGCAGATATTGAATTTGAAGATAGACACAAAGTGAAGAATAAAATAATTTAAATTTCCTACAGAAGTCAAAACTTCCTCTTATCTTTTCACGCAAGGAAATTTAATAGATTCTTCCTGTTAGTACACTGTTCATGTCAGCTATAGCTAAGTACCTGTGTATCATGTRTAATAGTTTGGTTTGGCCTTGAATTTTAAAAAAAGGTGGTATAGAAGATTGGTTGAACAAATGTTATGATAGTTCAACAGATCTCTTTCCTAAGTTTTAAGTTAGTCATACTTGCTTTAAGTTAGTAATATTGCATTAAAGGACTTATTTTGCTTTTTTCCAGTAAATGCATATGTTCAAAATGCAATAATGAGATAATATGATTGCCCAGATCACAGAGGAAGCATGAGGCACAGCTGGTCTGTTTGAGTAATTAAATTATCAGATTCAGGAAAATAATTACAATTAACTCTTTCTCCCTGAGTTCTACTTAGACCTACAGATATTTTGCCTGTGCTCCATAGTACTGATATAGCTAAACACATGACATTTGACAAAGTAAAAACACATTTTTCTCCTTTATTTATTTGTAATAAGTTAATTTTGACCATCTGTTGGGAACACAAGTTGTTACATGTTACATTTACATGGCTAACTGGGATAATTGCCAAGGTTCTTCCCTGCAGGATTTCAAAATTCCTGGCAGAGCAACAATTTGTCTGGAAGAATTTGGGGCTGATGGAGAAAAGGTTTATCTTAGTTATGCCCTTCCCATTATTGAGTGAGAAAGAGTCTAAGGTGTTTGTTGAAATAAATATATTCTGTCTTACGTGCTTTATGATGATTGTTTTCTTGAACTTGGATGTCATCTAGCAGTTGATCTGTAAGGTTTTGGTGATGAAATACAGTGTATCCTGTGGTCTTTTTTTTTTTAAAATCATAGCATTTTCATTTTGGACAAATTGCAACAGCTGTGCATTGAACTGCATATCAGTTTACGCTGTTGTATCTAGCTAAAACAGTAGTTGCAGCTAACTTCAGTTAGCTGAGGGAGTGCTGGGGGATGCATGTTGTCAGAGGCAAGTGGTCTGGCCTAGCTTCCATAACAAACTCTTTTGTAGATCACKGTGCTGATTTTTGTTGAAGTAGTTTAAAAGGGAATGATAATGTTGAATATTTGTTTGATGTTGTTGAACAGTGGAATAGCTTTAGTGGTATAGTGATTTTCAGCATTAGTCTGTGCCTTCAGGTTATAATTGCATTGGTGTAGCATTATGCTTCAAATGACAGGAATTATGATTGTTGTATGTAAAGTTTATAGGATGTAAAGTTTATAGTAACTAATTAGTTTCCTGTTCTGATAAGTGTTTTAAAACAAATATTGACAGTTTTAGATTTCTCACAAATACCATAGTCAGTTCTTGAAGATTTCTTACGGGATGCGAGATTTTCTTTAGTTTTAAAATTCATTTCTRCTACCGGCCCTTGGATAATTTCACMTTCCCAGAGAAGTCATGTTTACCCAATTAGACTTTTGTCATCTTCCAGAGCASAGAAGTGTATGTGCTGCCAGCCAGATGCTCCATCAGGAGGTGAATCATAGTACTAGTAGTTTACTCTTTGCATCTTTCTGATGKTATATAATGCTGTCAGTTGTGTTTTGCAGTTCGTTGCAGGGCTTTGTCAAAGGATGCTGCTGGGAGTTATTACGCACTTGCCAGCCTAGGGTAACAGCAGCATCAGTTTTCTCTTTCTCCCACACATGCTTTGTGAATAGTGCAGGATGAAGGAATGAAAACAGAGGAAATGTGATGATGTGTATGTAGATACATAGAAACACAAAAGCTGAAGTGCATACTAAAATCACTTAGTCTAATACGAGCAGCGAATCATTGTTAAGAATTTCCTCTACAGCTTTAACAGTTTTTTTGTTTGTTTGCTTGCTTTGTTCTCTTAAATCAGCAAAAGTATATGGGTTGTTTTTAACCAAATTGGTATTGAGGCTGTGCTCTGCTTTCTGTCTTTGAGAATGTTCATCCTTACCAGTTAATCTATTTTCAAGTGAAAGCTGCTCATCCATTTGAATTAAACAGAGGTGGTGTTATGGGAAAGACTATCGCCACATCGCTGGAATGTAAGAGCAGCTATACGGAGCCAACCCACAGATTCATTTAGCTCAGTATCCTGYCTCTGACAATGACCACAGGTCAGCGCTTAAGTACAGGTCAGGTAGTTCCTCTGAGCACTTCCATGGCTCAGGGCCTTTCTGAAATGAGTTCTGTTTTC